GAGGCCTCTGTTCTGTTCCATTGGTCTATATCTCTGTTTTGGTACCAGTACCATGCTGTTTTGATTACTGTAGCCTTGTAGTATAGTTTGAAGTCCGGTAGTGTGATGCCACCGCTTTGTTCTTTTTGCTTAGAATTGGCTTGGCTATGTGGGCTTTCTTTTGGTTCCATATGAAGTTTAAGGTGTTTTTTTCCAGTTCTGTGAAGAAGGTCATTGGTAGCTTGATGGGGATATTGTTGAATCTGTAAATTACTTTGGGCAGTATGGCCATTTTCATGATACTGATTCTTCCTAGCCATGAACATGGAATGTTTCTCCATCTGTTTGTGTCCTCTCTGATTTCGTTGAGCAGTGGTTTGTAGTTCTCCTTGAAGAGGTCCTTTATGTTCCTTGTTAGTTGTAGTCCTAGGTATTTTATTATTCTCTTTGTAGCAATTGTGAATGGCAGTTCGTTCTTGATTTGGCTCTCTTTAAGTCTGTTATTGGTGTATAGGAATGCTTGTGATTTTTGGACATTGATTTTGTATCCTGAGACTTGGCTGAAGTTGCCCATTAGTTTCAGGAGATTTTGGGCTGAGACGATGGGATCTTCTAGATATACAATCATGTCGTCTGCAAATAGAAACAATTTGACTTCCTCCTTTCCTATTTGAATACCCTTTATTTCTTTTTCATGCCTGATTGCTCTGGCTAGAACTTCCAATACTATATTGAATAGGAGTGGTAAGAGAGGGCATCCTTGTCTAGTGCCAGATTTCAAAGGGAATGCTTCCAGTTTTTGCCCATTCAGTATGATATTGGCTGTTGGTTTGCAAAATGAAGTATTAAAAAAAAATCAGACATGTAAAATACAAGTTCAAGAAATTTATTCAGCTGAATTACATGTTAATATCAATAAATAAAATACAAATATATAAAAACTAGACATAGTCACATATATAGTTATTTGGCAATAATAACTGAATTAAAAGTGATGAAATCATGTGATAGATGAGTTTATCTCATTAATTTATCTAGGATGGATTGAAGACGGTACCAATATCTTTTTGTTTTGTTTGTTTTGAGACAGAGTCCTGCTCTGTTGCCAAAAAAAAAAAAAAAATACATATATATATAGTATCTTTTTTTGTTTGTTTGTTTTTTGAGACAGAATCTTGCTCTGTTGCGCAGGCCGGAGTGCAGTGGCACAGTCTTGGCTCACTGTAACCTCCGCCTCCAAGGTTCAAGCGATTCTCCTGCCTCAGCCTCCCAAGTAGTTGGGACTACAGGCACCTACCGCCACACCTGGCTGATTTTTTATATTTTTAGTAGAGGTGAGGTTTCACCCTGTAAGCCAGGATGGTCTCCATCTCCTGACTTCATGATCCACCCACCTTGGCCTCCCATAGTGCTGGGATTACCGGCATGAGCCACCCGGCCCACCTTTTTTTTGAGGCAGAATCTTGCTTTGTTGCCCAGGCTGGCATGCAGTGGTGCAACCTCTGCTCAGTGCAGCCTCCACCTCCTGTGTTCAAACGATTCTCTTACCTCAGCCTCCTGGCTGGGATTACAGGCTGTACCACCATGCCTGGCTAATTTTTATATTTTTAGTAGAGACAGGGTTTTGTCATGTTGACCAGGTCGGTCTTAAACTCTTGGCCTCAAGCAGTCCGCCCACCTCTGCCTCCCAAAGTGCTGGGATTACAGTAGCCACTATGCCCAGGCACAGCACCACTTTCAGGTGACAATATAAGGCTAAACTTTGCTGTGTTTTGATTTAATAATACTCTTAAATTAGAGAAACCATTGTTACAAAGATTTCTTGATGTGGATGGAGGAAGAGATCTTAAAAACAACTTCACCAAGTTCAAGATATGCATTTCCAATTTTATCCAAAATAAAGCAAGTCTCCTTTATTTTTCAACACTAGCCGATTCTCACAGTTTATGCCATAATGAGTTAGATTATCTTTAGGTGAAATAAATAGATTTGGTTCTATTACGTTTCCTGTGTGTAGATCTTATTGGTTGGAAAATTAAATTTCAAAATGTTCTGTTACATTTACAAGGTTTTTGGTGATACTCTGTCAAACCTGTTCTTTGAAGCTTCTAACTGGCATTTTTTTTTCTTTTTTGAGACAGTCTTGCTCTTTCACCCAGGCTGGAGTGCAGTGGTGCAATCTCGTCTCACTGCAACCTCTTCTGCCTGGGTTCAAGCAATTCTCCTGCCTCAGCCTCCCAACTAGCCGGGATTACAGGCACATGTCACCACCACACCCAGCTAATTTTATATCTTTAATAGAGACGGAGTTTCAGCATCTTGGCCAGGCTGGTCTTGAACTCCTGACCTCATGATCCACCCACCTCGTCTTCCCAAAGTTCTGGGATTACAGGTGTGAACCACCTCGCCTGGCCTAATTTTTGCCTTTTACTCTTACCTGTTGTTAGAAAGCATGTTGCTTTCCTTCCTTGTAAGGAAGTATTAAGATAATTACAAGTACTGAAGATATTAGACAAGTTGACTAACCAGTTCACATCTTTTAAAAGTTGGAAACAAACTTGTTTCTTACTTTGCAGAAGCACTGAGTCTGTTCAGTAATTAAAATTTCTCCTCAATAGCATTATTTTAACATGAACCATTGTTGTAACGTTAATTCACTAACAATATCCTTTTTTATTGGCACATAATAAAGAGAATAATTGTTGATATGTATTTGCATTCTCATGACTTTTATTATGACGCTACACACATACTGTTTAGTTCAACTGACATTTTTTGTACGAAGATCTTGTCAATGAAAGCAGCACAGTGTGTGATTTTCTTTCTGTGCAAGCTTTCTGTTTTCTTGTCATTGTAGCTGCGCTCTTAGAACATTCTTATATACAAAATTCCAGACCAGTTTTATTGCTAACATAACTCTCGTTTACCCAGTTCAGAACTAGCTGTGTTTGTTGGATGTAAAACTGAGAACAAGAATTCTTCTTTCGTATCACCATCATTTTCAGATAGCATATTAGCCATATCTGTGCACTTGTCACGGTTCAGTAAAAAGCACTTTGCAAGTTTTGTTTTATAAGTTGCTTTTCTGCATCATTAGTTTCCAAAGATAGCAAGCTGTGCTATCATTGGAAAGTACAGATTTACCCTTTGATGTAAGTAATATTTACTTGTTTCTTGACAATTGCATTTAGCATTTTCATTTTAGCAATCCAAAGTGCTAAGGCAGGAAGCCTCTAAAGCATTTATGGATAAAATACTGTTCATCTGCTTCTTTTAGCCTTTAAAATTTAGTACTCTTTCAAAGAATTCTATTTTGAGCTTATGTCTGTATATTTGGTTTATAAATGCCCCTTAAATTTTGATGATTTTGTTGCTCCATTAACCAGTTATCTGCAGTTAACACGCTGTGACATTACACTTCATTAATTATGGCTACAGTCCTGAACTCAGTATATGAGGGCTCAGTCCCACTCCTGAGTCAAAGTGGTGTGGCATCTTTTGGCCTTCATCTCTTTGGATTTACTTCCTTCACCCTCCTGTGGTTTACTGTATTCAGAGGCATGTCTTCTCCACTGAAAAGATGCTGCAAAACCAATTGAAGCTTGTTTATCCATATGTAAATTTGTTTAAAAAGAATAAACTTCATTTCTCTAGTTTAACTCATGTTAAATTACAAATTTAAAACCATGCTTAAGATGAAAATGTTTGCAAAATTAACTAGGTATAAAAATGAATAAAACTGTGCATTTTCTCAGATTTTTGTATACATTTAGGTAGTTGGTAAAATAGCCATAGCGTATCCCATGTAACTTGATTCTGCCATGCCTGCCGAGTACATGTGATGACGTGCACCTCCCCACGTGAGCTTGGCAGCACCTAGATAGGTTCTTACTCTCCCTTTAGCAAGACAAATCATTGGTCGTGTACTTGTGTCTTATGGCTTTGTTGAATGTGTATAAAAGTTTTGTTTTGTTTGTTTGTTTTTTAAATAGAGACAGCATCTTGCTATTTTGCCCAGGCTAGTCTTGAATTCCTGGGCTCAAGCAGTCCTCCCACCTCAGCATCTCAAAATGTTGGGATCACAGGCATGAGCCACCGTGCCTGGCCTGTACAAGCTTCTAAAAGCCTACTCTCAGTTTCTGAACTGACCCCATCGTGGATTCCTAACAAATAATTCATAGACCAGCACTGGTTTGTAGTTTTGCTCTGATAGGTAGTAGACTGGATGATTGTATCATTCTTAAGAAAGTTACGGGCTTTACGTGCATTAACTCCATAGGAAATAGCTCATTTCACTGCATCTTTTTAAATAATTTATTAGCTATCTATTATATCACACAACAGGGCACATTACCCAATATTGACATATAATTTCAAAATATAACATCAAGGTAAAAGCGTTTGTCTTATTAAGGGGTGGGAGTTGAGATAGCATGGGGAGAAATGCCAGATATAGGTGAAGGGGAGGAAGGCAGCAAATCATGCTGCCATGTGTGTACCTATGCAACAGTCTTGCATGTTCTTCACATTTACCCCAAAACCTAAAATGCAATTAAAAAAAAAAAAGAAAAGCAATGCTGGGGGAGGATCGATTGAGCCTGGGAGACAGAGATTGCAGCAAGCTGCGATTCTGCCATTGTACTGCAGCTTGAGTGATAGAGGGAGACCCTGTCTCAGGAAGAAAAAAAAAAAAGAAATGCTGTAACTTTATATTTCATCATATTGCATTCTTATTTTCAAAAGCTTAACGGTGCATTCATTTACAGGCGTCTATTATTTTAACTAGAATTTCAGAACATTTAAAGTAGGCATGAGCTGTGCGTAAATGTTTGTGAGGTGTGAATTTACAAAAGTAGCTTGTGTTAGTGGAGCTATTGTTTCTTCTCCAGGAAGCTGCCAGGAACCATGTGTTGTGTGCTGGAGCTTTTGGCTCTTTCTGAGCTCACAGTGTTGATTCAGCTGATGCATTTCAGTCCACATATGTCCTGTGTTTCTCAGCTGGCTCCATCGCATGTCAGTTTCTTCTGATTTGTGTAATGAATCAGTGAGAATAACCTCATAAAGGATTTGCATGTTGAATCTTCACACATGAAGGCCCCATGTGGCAGGCAGTATGTTCCTCCACAGACGACTGAGGGCTCCACGGAAGCTTTACCGACACCATGACTAGGTTTGCCATCGCTGTGCCCTTCGAAACTGGGCACTTGAGGCCTAGTGTATAAGAATCTAGTACAACAGTGCTTCTCACATTGCGATGAGTAAATACATCCTCCTCCCATCAGTTGGGGAATCTATACTTTGTAGAATACAATTAAAGTACTAGAAAATTTCATTTTAAAAGACAAAAATATAAAAAATATATGCCATGTTTTTATGAATAGATTCAATACATAAAATTACATTTTTGTAAATGTTACAACATAGGACAATTTTTCTTTTCCATATCTGTATGTCTTTCATCATGGACTAGTAAACAGTGGCAGGAGCAGCACCGGCTCATGGAACCCACTGTGAGTAGCACTGTGGTAGTTACTGGCAAGATTGGGTAGGGAGGTGTGGGTATCTCAAAGAGCTGGTAATGCTGTCAGCAGCAAAACTGCAAACAAAAGAGCATCCTGTGGGGCTGCTCCCTCCACAGCTCTAAAACATACATGTCGCAGCACATCTTGGCTACTATAACTATGAAAACTTAAATTTTGATGAAAACATAAGTCATATTCTTTATTCTGATAGTGGATTTTCTGTAGAGGGAAGTTGCTTCTCTGAGTCTTAGGAACATTCCTGGTTCCCTTCTTTAGCGCTGTTGTATAGGCCCTTTGTTTTTTTCATGTAATGTGTCCTAATGGAGGGAGATCTGGGCCTCCTGTTCATAGTACTGCAGCAGTCAAATAGGAGCTAGGCTGTTTCTCCACCCAGATCTTCACATATAACATTCTGTGCCATCAGAAGGGAAAGAGCCAGGTGTGGTGACTCACACCTGTAAATCCAGTACTTCGGGAGGCCAAGGCGGGTGGATCACTTGAGGTCAGGAGTTTGAGACCAGCCTGGCCAACGTGATGAAACCCTGTCTCTACTAAAACTACAAAAATTAGCTGGGCGTGGTGATGGGTGCCTGTAATCCCAGCTACTCAGGAGCCTGAGGCAGAAGAATTGCTTGAACCTGGGAGGTTGGAGTTTGTGGTAAGCCGAGATCAGGCCACTGTACTCCATCCTGGGTGACAGAGTGAGACTCCGCCTGAAAAAAAAAAAAAAGAGGGAGGCAATGAGAATATTCAACTACCAGGATAAACATTCAGAGGGTCTGATTGAAATTATATGGACGAAATCACTAAGGAAAATTTTCGGGTAGTTATTTTAATGTGACTTTTTGTGCCAAAATAAAATTTTAGGGCCTCCCTCCAATACTAGATATATGGGAGAGTTTCCAAGGCTGCCAAAACAGAGAGCTGGAATGACTACAAGTGGGAATTAGAGTGGCCCCATGACCCACTTTAGACTCCAGCCCTTATTTCTTGAGTTTAGAGGCATTAAAAAAAAATTAAAATGTGTTTTGAATTTGGTCCAGTGTATTAATACAGAGACGCTAAGTCTTTGGTGCCTTTATTTGAGTTTTAATTTTTTGATGCAGGGTCTCACTCTGTCACCGAGGCTGGAGTGCAGTGGTATAATCCCCGTGCACTGGGGCCTCCACCTTCTGGGCTCAAGCAGTCCTCCCGCCTCAGCCTCCTAAGTAGCTGGGCCTACAAGTATGTACCATCATACCACCATGCCCAGCTAATTATAAAATTTTTTGTAGAGGTGAGGTCTCAACTTTGTTGCCCAGGTGGTCTCAAACTCCTGGACTCAAGTGGTCCTCTCACGTTGGCCTTCCAAGGTGCTGGGAGTATAGGCGTGAGCCACCACACCCAGCCCAGGCACTTCTTTTTTGCCATTGTTCTCTCCTAGCCCTTCCCTCTAAGTCCTGTGTAAATTAATTGTCCTGCATCCTTAACTCCCCATCTTTCCCTTTGCAGTCTTACCTCCGTGAAACTCACCTCTTCCAGCACTGCTTTTTAATGACAATTACTCATTCTCTCACAGCCCACACCCCGTGGAGTCCAAGAGGGTGGTGACGGCATTTTTTTTGCTTCTCCTTGCTGTCTTCAAGCTAATTATTTTCCACCCTCATATTGTTTTATTATTTTCATTCTTAGGATTCTCTTGTTTCTATCTGCTTACTCTCCCTCTGGCTGGGTGTAGTGGCTCCAGTCTGTAAGTCTAGCACTTTAAGAGATCAAAAGCAGGAGGACTGATTGAGACCAGCCTGGGTAATGTGGGAAGACTCTGTCTCTACAAAAAATAACAAAAATTAGGCTAGGTATGGTGGCTCACGCCTGTAATCCGAGCAGTTTGAGAGGCCAAGGTGGGCGGATCACCTGAGGTCAGGAGTTTGAGACTAGTCTGGCCAACATGGTGAAACCCATCTATTAAAAAAAAAAAAAAATTAAAATAAATAAATAAAAATAACAAAAATTAGCTGAGTGTGAGTGGCACATGCCTTGTGGTCCCAGCTACATGGGAGGCTGAGGTGGGAAACTCACCAGAGCCTAGGAGTTTGAGGCCGCAGTGAGCTGCAATCGTGCTGTTGCACTTGAGCCTGGGCAACAGAGCAAGACCGTGTCTCAAAAAACAAAAAACTCACCAATACTGTCTCTCTTCAGTTTGTAATTTGTGATCGTGAGCTTATTTTCTTTTTATTATTGTTGTTGTTATTGAGCTGGAGTCTCGCTCTGTCACCCACGCTGGAGTGCAGCGGTGCATTCTCAGCTCAGTGCAACCTCCGCCTCCCAGGTTCAAGTGATTCTCCTGCCACAGCCTCCCAAGTAGCTGGGACTACAAGCATGTGCCACCACTCCTGGCTAATTTTTATATTTTTAGTAGAGACACATTTTCACTGTGTTGGCCAGGCTGGTCTTAAACTCGTGACCTCAGGTGATCAACCTGCCTCGGCCTCCCAAAGTGCTGGGATTACAGGCGTGAGCCACCGCACCTGGCTGTGAGCTTATTTTCTGCAGTGCTTTTTGGACCTTTCTGAAAGTCCTTTGTTCCCTCAGGGTAGACATAGCTCCATAGAGTAAATTAGTTTTCCGTTTGCATCTGCTGGGAGGTGGTAGCGTTTCACCAATCTAGGACAGTTTTTATTTAATAATAAAATCTTTGGTTGGGATTCCCATACTATATAGGTAGGGTAAATTCAGATTCTTTTTTTTTTTTTCTAGGCATAGGCCTGGACTTTTTATTTTAATGAGAAACTTTTTATAAACTTTGGAGAATTTCAGACATGTACAAAAAGTAGAACGTAAGAAAGATGACCAGCGAGTATCATGGTGTCATATACTCATTACATAGCATCAAAAATTACTGACTTATGACTTATTTTGCTTCATTTATGCCCCCATCCATTTTCTCATTCCTAGATTAGTTTATAGAAAATCTCGTGGAATATTGTTTTGTATTTCACTATACGTGTCTAAAAGATAAGTACTCTTCTAACCATGATACTGTTGTCACACTTAAAGAAAATCAATAATGACTTAATATCAAATATCCAGTCAGTATTCAAAAGTTCAGTTGCTTCATAAATGTTATTTATACTTTTAAAAATTGCAGGTTGTCTAAATCAAGATCTAATGAAGAACACACAATGCAATTGTCTGATGATGCCTTTGTTTTATTTTTTTTGAGACAGAATCTCACTTTGTTGCCCTGGCTAGAGTACAGTGGCATGATCTCGGCTAACTGCAACCTCTGTCTCCCAGGTTTAAGAAATTCTTGTGCCTCAGCCTCCTGAGTAGCTGGGATTACTGTTTCATGCCACCACGCCCAGCTAATGTATGTTTGTTTGTTTGTTTTGAGACGGAGTCTCGCTCTGTCCCCCAGGCTGGAGTGCAATGGAATGATCCTGGCTCCCTGCAGCGTCCGCCTCCCAGGTTCAAGCAATCCTCCTGCCTTAGCCTCCCAAGCAGCTGGGATTACAGGCGCCTGTCACCATACCCAGCTAATTTTTGTATTTTTAGTAGAGATGGGATTTTGCCATATTGGCCAGGCTGGTTTAGAACTCCTGACCTTGTGATCTGCTGACCTGGGCCTCCCAAAGTGCTGTAATTACAGGCGTGGGCCACCGCGCCCGGCCAATTTTTGTATTTTTAGTAGAGACGGGGTTTTACCATGTAGGCGAAGCTGGTGTCGAACTCAAGACCTCACGTGATCTGCCTGCCTCAGCCTCCCAAGGTGCTGGGATTACAGGCGTGAGCCTCCACGCCTGGCCTGATGGTGCCTTTAATCTGTAAGTTCTCCCTTCGTCTTTCCACCCCTTGCAGTTTATTAAAGAAGCCAGTTTTTTTGTTCTAATAGAGTTTCCCACCGTCTGGGAAATTGGTAGTTAGATCTGGAGGTTTGATAGTAGTGGCGTGATGGAGGGGCAAGGCTATTTATGTTGAGTGCCCAAATCCACTAATTTATTAGGTGTTGCAAAATGGTGCTATTCCATCATTCATTCTTCATGGATTAGCTGCAATACTTGTATAAGAAAAAACTTCCTGGATGGGCGTGGTGGCTCACACTTTTAATCCCAGCACTTTGGGAGGCTGAGGTGGGCAGATCACTTGAGGTCAGAAATTTGAGACCAGTCTGGCCAACATGGTGAAACCCTGTCTCTACTAAAAATACAAAAATTATCTGGACATGGTGGTGCATGCCTATAATCCCAGCTACTTAGGAGGCCGAGGCAGGAGATCGCTTGAACCCAGGAGGCAGGGGTTGCAGTGAGTCAAGATCGTGCCGCTGCACTCCAGCCTGGGCGACAGACCATGACTCTGTGGAAAAATTTTTTAAAAAAAGAAAGGAAACCTCCTTTTGTCTACTACTTGATTACCCAGTGGTACAGTTTGTGTAGAAAAGGCAGGTTATGTGCCTGGTTTTTCTCTCTTTATTTGCCGGTTTTGAAAATAATGAGTTGGTTCCCTAGCATTTCCCTTGTTGACCAATTAGTTTGTATTATTACAAAGTCATAGAATTTAAACATGTTTGATGTGCTTCAATCCATTGTGGTTATTATCCTTATTGATGCTCAGACTTCCCTGCCTTCTTCTGAGTCATTTTCACCTGACTTCAGACGCCTTCAGTAGCTTACTTGTTGTCTGGTATGACCGGATGTTCTTAGTTCATCTTGTGCACTTCCTGCCCTCTGCCCAAAACTAGCCATTTCTCTGAGGTGTCCTAGATTGATTCTTTAGGGTAAATGGAATTAGATCACAAACTAGATCTTATTGCTATAGATTGGCCATTGTTTGACATATAGGAAATATCTTTTTTTAAGATAACAGTACATGTTTTATCTTTAAAACAGTCCGTATTCAAATTCAGGGCTACAGAGTGTTTATTTGCTCCGCTGTTATCTTATGCCTTTTCTCCTACACCAGGAGTTTCAGGTCTCAAGGATATTAGATGATAGTATTAGAATATCACATAATTGGTCATTTACTTAATTCCTCATTTTATTTTTGTTTTTTTGTTTTTTTTTGAGACAGAGTTTCACTCTTGTTACCCAGGCTGGAGTGCAATGGCGCGATCTCGGCTCACAGCAACCTCCGCCTCCTGGGTTCAGGCAATTCCCCTGCCTCAGCCTCCTGAGTAGCTGGGATTACAGGCACGCACCACCATGCCCAGCTAATTTTTTGTATTTTTAGTAGAGACGGGGTTTCACCATGTTGACCAGGATGGTCTCGATCTCTTGACCTCGTGATCCACCCGCCTCGGCCTCCCAAAGTGCTGGGATTACAGGCTTGAGCCACCGCGCCCGGCTAATTCCTCATTTTATAAAGTGAGACATCCCCCCACACACACAAGAGCTCCAGCTGGACAAAAAAAAAAAAGTGTCCTGATTGCTTTCTCACACCTCTATCTTTCTCTTTATCCTCGCATTCCTAATCCAATTGGTGATTAAGTCCTATTGATTTTGCTTCTTTAATGTTTCTTGTCTCCAGCCCCTGCCTCTACCTGTTCTCAGTGCATTGATTCAGGCCTTCATCGTCCCTCTAGGTTTCATATCCTTCCATTGTGCTGTGCATGTGGCTATGAGGGTGTAGTGTAAAGTGCTTTTTGCCTGCATGGGACAGTCAGAATTCTTGTAAGCCTCTCCATGGTTTGTCTATCTTGATATACTACACACTCCAGGCATTGGAAGTAACCTGCAGTTTGCCAGACCTTTCATGTTCCTCTGCCTTTGCTCAGCTGCTTACTCACTGGGTCTCATACGCTCTTTCCTCTCCCATGATAAAATTTCCCAACATTTTGTTAGGAAAAATTTGAAACATACAGAAAAGTTTAAAGACTTTTCTAGAGAATGCCTGTATACCCACTACTCAGATTCTACTCTTAATATTTCACTTATATTTGCATTTTTATTTGCTATACAAATACCTACCCCTATATTCAACCATCACTAAAAACCTTCTAAGTATTAGTTCATTATTTGCTTACATTTTATTTTCTTTTGAGCCAAAATACATATACAGTGAAATACACAGTTTTGAAATGTGTATTATCTGAATTTTGATGAATGCTTACCCCTGAGTAAGCCAAAACTCTGTCAAGTTATATAGGGTGGTGGCTTTGCCTACCAAGGAACATTTGACAGTGTCTGGGCAGGGTAGGGATAGGTTAGTACTGACATCTAGCGGGTAGAGTCCAAGGATAGCTCCCCTGACAGTTCTTTCTCAAAAGTGCAACTGTTGATGACCTTTGATACTTTGCTACTACGTTACTAAAACCCTGAGGGTTTCATCATGCCTCTTGCCAAATCAGTTCCCTACCCCCAACCTCCTAGAGATAACCATTGTGATTTTTTACTTCTATCACCATTTTCCCTGTTATAGAAGATCGTATAAATGGACTCAAACACTGTATACTTCATAGTAGTATTACCTAAAAAGGAAAACATTGCCTGTAACTCTTCAAGGAATGTAAAGTTTTTCCATTGATTATAAAAGAAATCTCTTGTAGGGTTTCACGTAAAGGACAGAGACAGGTAGATAGTATTTTCTTCAACACTGCTAGAGCAAATGAAGCAAAGGCATTCATATGAACATTTCCTTTTGAAATTCCTAAGATAATGCCGACACAAAACTCATTGCAAGCGCTTTTACCTAGGAGAGACTGTATTGTCCAAAGACATAGCTTCCCGGTGGCCTGGGTTGATTTAAGAGTCAAATCTAGAGAAAGGAATGGTTGGGATAATCTTCACTTTCCACAAAGGGCACTTTTCTCAGCCAGGTGTCGATAAGACATGTACAGCATCATTTCAAGGTGCTCTCTCACCTCAGTGCAGGTAACCTATGGTGTCAATTAAAGGGAAAGCTGCCAGATTTGGAGATCAAATAAGAGGTAACTGAGGAAATACATCTTGTGTTATTGTTGGCTATGCAATTTTTTCTCAAAGGTGGTGTATGAGAATATCTGAAGGCAAAGGAAGATTGTTTTAAAACCAACACAACAATCCAGGCTTGGTGGCTCCCACCTGTAATCCCAGCACTTTGGGAGGCCAAGGCAGGAAGATCACCTGAGGTCAGGAGTTCAAGACCAGCCTGGCCAACATGGTGAAACCCGATCTCTACTAAAAATACAAAAATTAGCTGGGTGTGATGGTACATGCCTTCCCAGCTACTCGGGAGGCTGAGGCATAAGAATTGCTTGAACCCAGGGGTTGCAGTGAGCTGAGATCGCGCCAGTGTACTCCAGCCCGGGTGACAGAGCAAGACCCTGTCTCAAAAAAATAGAATAATAATAATCAAGTAAAACAACAGCATAGCTGTGGTTCCACTCCAACAGAAAGCTCAGGTCCCCAGAGTTCACTTCCTGTTCATCCTTGACAGCTCTGCTGGCTAATAGTCATATGTTTATTAGTCATTGATTAATGGATTGATGCATTTATCAAAGGTTACTTGTTGATGTCGTTCAGTCTCATAACTTTAAATACCAAGCTATATGCTGACAACTGCAAAATATTTATCTCTAATTTGATTCGCAAATTCATATATGTGTTTCCCTATCTGACCTTTCCACTTAAAAGGCAGTTCAAACTTTGTCCAAAACTGAATTCCTGATCCTGAATTCCTGGTCTCTGAAGCCTTTTCTTTTCCTAACTCAGAAAATAGCAACTTTTCTTCCCAGCTACTGAAGTCAGCTCTGTGTCATCTTAGACCATTTTCTTTTCTCACATTGCACGTCCAACCTGTGAGCAAGTCTTGGTGGCTCTACCTTCAAAGTATATTGTGGGCCTAACCAGTTCTCACCACCTCTATTGCAGCCATCTTGCTCTAAGCTACCATAGTCTCTGCTGGAAACATTGCAGTAGTGGACTGAGTTTATTTCCATCCTTCTTCCTCATAGTTTATTTTCAATACTATAGCCAGAGTGATCCTTTAAAAATATAAACCGTGGGCTGGGCACTCAGGCCTGTAATCCCAGCACTTTGGGAGGCTGATGCAGGCGGATAGCCGGAGGTCGGGGGTTCAAGACCGACTTGACCAACATGGGGAAACCTTGTCTCTACTAAAAAAATTAGCTGGGCATGGTGGCTCATACCTGTAATTCCCAGCTGCTTGGGAGGCTAAGGCAGGACAGTCGCTTGAACCCAGGAGGCAGAGGTTGCAGTGAACCAAGATTGTGCCATTGCACTCTAGCCTGGGCAACGAGTGAAACTCGATGTATAAATATAAACAGTGACGAAAACCACCCCTTGGCTCCCCATTTCATTCAGTGTCAAAGCCATCTTCATGGCCTAAAGACCCTATCATCTACTGCTCCCCTTGCGCCGGTGTTTCTTTTCTTGTATCTCGTCTTCCTCTTCCTTCCCTTCATTTGCTCGCCCTATTCCATGCACCGTGGCTTCCTGGCTGTACCTCACACCCGCCGGGTGTGCATGACTTGCTTTCTCACTTCAGTGAGGTCTCCTTGCCTGACCACCCAACTTTAAATTTTGAATGTAAGTTTAGATTGTAATTCCTTCAACCCTGTACTCACCATGCCCTGCTTTGTTTCTGTTTGTTTTTCTGCTCATCTCTCCCTCCATTAGAGTGTAAACTCCACCAGGGCGTAAACTCCACGAGGGCATATAATTTTGTCTATTTTGTTTATTGTGTTACCAGTACCTGATATCGTGCCTAGCAAATGGTGGGCACTCAATAAGTATTTGTTGAATAAATTATTGGGTCTCTCTCACCTGCTGGACCCTGCTAGGCACTGGGGACTCACTGCTGAATGATCCTTCTCCTCCTCAAACATAGACTGGTACAAGAGACATGGTAATTGATTAATACTTAGATTCATGTACATAATTTTAGATAAAAACTCTTGAGGAAAACAGCTTTGGTTGTAGGAGAGGATAAAATAGAAAGCTAACAGCAGGAGTGGGGAGGCCCCTTCTTGTCCAAGTGTTAAAAGCTGGGATCTGAAAGATGAGAGTTAAGTGGCCTCTGTGGTGTCGTGTCCTTTCTCTTTCCTGACACTTTTTTCTCTCTTAAAAATTAAAGGTCAGTGTGGTGGCTCACGCCTATAATCCCAGCACTTTGGGAGGCCAAGGCGGGTGGATCACGAGCTCAAGAGATTGAGACCATCCTGGTCAACATGGTGAAACCCCGTCTCTACTAAAAATTCAAAAATTAGCTGGGCATGGTGGCACGTGTCTGTAGTCCCAGCTACTTGGGAGGCTGAGGCAGGAGAATTGTTTGAACCCAGGAGGCAGAGGTTGCAGTGAGCCGAGATCACGCCTTTGCACTCCAGCCTGGGTAACAAGAGCAAAACTCCATTTCAAAAAAAAAAATTAAAGCTAGGTTGGGCATGGTGGCATGCACCTGTAGTCCCAGCTACTTGGGAGGCCGAGGTGAGAGGATTGCTTGAGCCCAGAGGTTTAAGGCCAGCCAGAGCAACATAGTGAGTCCCTGTTTCTTAGAAAGAAAGAGAAGATGAGAGAGAAAAAGAGGAGGGAGGGAGGGAAGAAGAAAAAAAGGGAGGGAAGAAAGGAAGGAGAAAGGAAAGAGAAAAAGGAGAAGGAAAGAAAGAAGAAAGAAAGTTAAATATGGGTCTTTCTACACATTGACCACTTTTATTAATCTTTGATTTGTACTATTTTTGTTTCCTTTTTCATAGACTGCTCCTCTTCCATTTATTAGTTTCTTTTACTTTGGGGGGTTTTAACTGGCTGTTATTTTTGCAATTTTTTGAGATTGATACTTAGCACTAATGCTTGAAGTTATGGTTATAATTTATCCCTAAACACAGTGTTAGCTACATCCTACGAGAGTTGATAGTAGTATTTTTAGTAGGTATTTTTATAGACTTTTTATATGTTCAATTTAATTATGAATATATTTGGATTTAAAGCTAACATCTTGGGATTTCTATTTCTCCTACCAGTGCCATGTTCATTTTCCTCTTTCCTTGGCTTCTCTTGGATTAATCAAAAATCTTTTATTCCATTTTCCCCTGCTGTATTATCTTATTCATTTACCTTTTAGAGACAGGGTCTTGCTGTGTCACCCAGGCTGGAGTGCAGTGGTAAGATCATAGCTGACTATAGCCTTGAACTCCTAGGCTCAGGCAATCCTCCCACTTCACTTTCCCAAGTAATTGAGACTGCAGGTGTGTGCCACCATGTTCAGCTAATTAAAAAGAAAATTTTAGCATCAGGTCTCACTGTGATGCCCAGGCTTGTTTCAAACTCTGGGCCTCCGGGATTCTTCCACCTTGGCCCCCTGACATGCTGGGACGACAGGCATGAGCTAGCTCATTTTAAAGCATTACCTGCAGGTTATACCATGCATCCTTGGCTTATTGAAGTCTAATATCAATTAATAGTTGTATCACTTTTCTATCAGTGCATGGACCTTGGGATATTTATGCTTCATATAGTACTCACATACCGTTTGTGTCATTATTGTCATTTATTTTAATTCTGCATATTTTTGACCCCACAAGACATTTTGTTTTACACAGTATTCATTTAGTCTCCCTTGAATTTCTCCTATCATTATTCTCCCTCTCTCTTTGCAGTGCTTCTGTCTAGGATCATGTTTCTTTTTTCTTTTTTTTTTTTTTAAGACAGTCTCGCTCTGTTGCTCGGGCTGGAGTGCAAGGGCACAATCTCAGCTCACTGCAACCTCTGCCTCACAGGTTCAAGCAGTTCTGCTGCCTCAGCCTCCCGAGTAGCTGGGATTACTGATGTGCTACGTCACCACCCCCGGCTAATTTTTCTCTTTTTAGGAGAGATGGGGTTTTACCATGTTGGCCACCTTGGACTCGAACTCCTGACCTCAGGCCATCTGCCCACCTCGGCGTCCCGAATTTCTGGTATTACAGGCATGAACCACTGCACCTGGTCAGATCATGTTTCTTTTGCCTGACGAACTTCCTTTGATGTCAACAAATTCAGTTTTGGTTCATCTGGAAAAGAAAATTTCTTGAACCTTAATTTTCAGACGAAATTTAGACTTGCATCTAGAATTGTGGCTTGATAGTTCATTGTCTTTTGGCTTCCTTTCTTTCTGTTGGTGTTAGCTGTCAGTCTTAGTTTTGTGTTCTTCCTCTGTTCTCTGGCTCCTTTTAAAGATGTCTAGTTTTGTTTTCAGAACATTTACTCTGATGTGCTTGCATATGTATTTATTTGTCCTGCTTTGGGTTTGACACTTTTTTTTTTTTCTCACAGTGACACTTCTTGAATCTATGGCTTAGTGTGTCTTCAATTTTGGAAAAGTTTTAACCATAACCCTCTTTGCTTTTGTCCCATTCTTCCCTCTGTTTTTGCTGATGATAAAGTGGAGCATTTGATCATAGGAAATGTAACTGAGTTGGAGTTATCTAGGACGTAATTAATGTGTTTGTTTGCCTGTGTGATGCTGATATCTCTTAAAAAGATGATAGGAGCAGGGTGCAGTGGCACTCTGGGAGGCCAAGGGAGGTGGATCACTTGAGCCCCGGCATCCAAGACCAGCTTGGGCAACATTGTGAGACCCTGTGTCCAAAAATTAGCCAGATCTGGTGGTACACACCTGTAGTTCCAACTACATGGGAGGCTGAGGCAGGAGGATCACTTGAGCCTGGGGAGTTCAAGGCTGCAGTGAGTTGTGATCGCACC